CGGCCTCCCACCTCACCAGACTTCAGAGGGGCCCAGTAAGCCATAGACCCACCGTGCCTACTGGAGAACCCAGGGCATCTCTTTCAGAACAAAAGCTGCCTGGGCACGCAGCTGTGTCACCCGCTCTGACTGTCCACGGGCGCCCCGAGCTTGGGGCTGACTCCCGAATCCATCATTTCTGTTGCACCAGTTGCAGTGCCTTTGTGGTTTCTGTCGCAAGAGAAGAGCTAGTGAAGAACACGGATGCCCAGACTCCATATTCGCTGGATTCTTTCTATCCACTGATATGATTCTTTTTTTGCTTGTTTGTTTTTTGCTTTTTTGGGTCACACCCGGCAATGCTCAGGGGTTCCTCCTGGCTCTGCACTCAGGAGTTACTCCTGGCGGTGCTCGGGGGACCATATGGGATGCTGGGAATCGAACCCGGGTCGGCCACGTGCAAGGCAAATGCCCTACCCGCTGTGCTGTCTCTCCAGCCCCAGAAAGGGCATGATTATTGACTTGCCCGTCGTCTTCCTACTTTCAGAATAGATCACAACGAATTATGAAATTGTTTACTGTAAAATCATCCACGTTGCATTTGTCTTTGGAATGAAAGCCCATCCTTGGGGGATTAAATTGGGCTTATTTGAAGAAGACTCGATTATGGAACGCTTAGGGACTTTTTTTTTTTAAAATGTGGCTTTTAGAAACTTTGGATATCTATGTGTTGAATGTTTTTATAAAATAAGTTGTCCTTTTTCTTGAAATTTACTTTATTATTTATTTAAATCTGGTTCTTGGTGTTGCCTTTCAACTGGAAGTGGGAGCTGGTGGTCATGCCCAGCACACGGTCCTTGGTGAATGCCCTGTGGCCGTTTGCAACGGCTGGTGTCCTCCCCGTGGCCTCAGGACCGAGCCGGGTCTCCAGCAGTGAGCAGTCATGGCTGGAGATTGTCTTTGGATTTCTCTGTCCCTCTGCATTTCCTGACCCAGGTCCCATCTCTCTATGCTTTCTTTCAAGCTTGTGTGAGTTTTCCTGCTTCCTTAAATAGTTCACTTTAGTCGCCATGATTCACAGTTTTGCCACCGTGCCAGTAGTAGGTTTCACGTGTCCAGCATCCTGACATCACACCCGCCTCGTGTCCGTGTCCTCCTGTTCTCGCCTCCGTGACGACTTCCCGGGACTCCCTCCCTTGTACTTCCTCGGTGCTCACTTCAGTGTCAGAGGTTTTGCGTGGTTTGGTTCTCCTTGAAGTCTGCTACCATCTCTGCTACGACAGTGGCTGAGCAGGTTCTCGGGTAGTGTGGGTTCATAGGTATTTGTGGATAAAATGCCAAAGCCCATATCCTTTGGGCTAGCCCAGTGTTTCCCGAGTGGGTTCCAGCCTGGGGCTGGGGGTCGCTGGAACTGTCCAGGGTGGGGGGTAGTAGCCTCAGGTGCATGGGCGGGGGGGCTCTTTCTGTTCCCTTACAGAAGGTAGATTTCGGGGGCAGGGGGCTCTGATTTTTTTTCTTCCCTCCGAAACGGGGTGTAGACCGTGTAAGTTTGGTTGCCCACTAGGTCAGACAAAGGAGAAAATCTTCCTTCTCGCCCTCGGGAGCTTCCACAGAAGGAAGGAGAGACGAGGGGCCATGGGGTTCCACGCCCACTTCGCCCTCCTTTGGAGCTCGGCCGGAAGGGGAGTGAGGTCAGCTGGTGGCCGGGCGGCACCAGCAGAGAATCTCGAGTGGATTTTCTCCAGCATTCGTTCCCGTCCATGCAGCAGAACCTGAGCCCACTGGCAGTGTAACATGTAATGCAGACTGGAATGTCCTCTCCTCTGGGGGCGTCTGGGGAGGGGGCACACCCAGCGATGCTCAGGGCTGACTCCAGGCTCTGTACTCAGAGATCATCCACGGCAGTGAGCGGGGACAATGTGGAATGCTGGGGGTCGAACCCGGCTGGGCTGTGTGCCAGGCAAGAGCCCGACCCACTGTGCTATTGCTCCGACCCCGTAATGTCTCCTTCTAACGGTATTTGTAAGCCCCGTTTGAACAGCGATGCAGGGCCTGAGTCAGTGGAGTAAGATGGACTGTGCGCCTTACTATGTTTTTGTGTGGAGGCCTGCTTTTCCTTCGCTGCATGTGTAAGATTGAGCGTTCAGTTGCTGGTCGTATCCACCAGGTTTCTGCAGCAAACGCGAGTGACTCCGTGTGACTCGGGACCCACCAGGAGAGTCCCGTGCCTGGGGCCTCCTTTTATCCAGCCTGAGTTTGGCTTTTCTCCGAGAGGGCCGGGACCGTCCGTAGAGGGGCTTTGGATGTGCTTCCTGGGGAGCAGAGACCTGGTCTTCTGCTTTTGCCTCTGCGGATTTTTCTTTCTTTCCATGAGGAGAGCGCTCCGTGTGTAACTGGTCTCCGGCCAGACGATTAGCCAACGCGTCTCGCCTTCCTGTTTCTGAGTCAGAAGTGAGTGGCTGCTCGCGGGCTCGCTTTCAGCCACACGCACCCGGACGCTTCAGAATCGTGCTGTGTGGTCCGTGCGTGTTGGGACCCTCTGACATAAACCCGCAGTCCTCAGGCTGTAACTGAAAGAAAACTCGACCCTCGGTTTACCTTAGAAGTCAGTCTGCTGCCCCTGGACAGTATTTCGATTTCGCTAATTGATGCAGACAAGGCACCCGGGAGCCTGGGGGTGGAGGGTGACGAAAACCAGGCCTGTGCAGCCACGGGGGGAGACGTTCTGTCCCGAGGGAGCCAGAGGTGACGCTGCCCACCGCCCCCGAGACTGCCAGGTGAGGGAAGGGAGGTGGCCGCGGGGGCAGGGCGTTGAGAAGCGCCCGCTTACAAAGCAGATCACATACCCGGGCGCGTGTGCTGCGGGCACCCAGCCCCCTCCCCGTCTGAGTCTCCCCACCCCACCCCGGCCGGTTCTCTCCACGCACACTCGGCGACGCGGGAGGCAGGGCTGCGTGAAGCGCAGGTGTTTCTTTTGTTGATTGAATACGGTCTGATTTTCATTCCTACGCAATTTACCTGCCCAGAGAGGAAGAAAGCTCCTTTTTTTTTTTTTATTAAGCCTGAGAACACGCGGAAGGCACAAGGCCCCGAAGTGGGGAGCGACAGATAGCTAGCTCCTTTATCACGAGCCTTTCCAAGCCCGCCTTCCCCGAGATGGGGAAATGCCTCCGCTCCCGGATGGAAGGCCCTGGAGCCCCGAAGTATCCCTCCTCCTCCCTTCGGGTCCAGACGAACTCGAGTGTCTGTGTTTATTCCTGCCTAATGCATCACAGATCTGCTGACATGCTCACCTTGGAGTCTGGGCTGGCGTTGATCAGCCCCAGCGGCGGCAGGAGAGCGGTTCCCCGTGCACGGCGTCAGTGCCGTTTGCATATGGACGTTCTCACGGGGGAGCTGCCCGGTGCCAGCTGAGGGTTACCTGCCCACTGCCGTTATTGTATGTAATTATCGAACCAATCTGTTCACCCAGCAGGGTTTAGATGGTAATCACGAAGCCACACTTTGGAAAGAGAGATGGAAGACTCTCCCCCTTCTCTCGTCCCTTCTGTGACGTTACGGCCGCCCTTAGAGGGGATTTTGAGAAGTAATACCTCCCTCTACCGATCTGCCAAACGGGAACCTTTTCACGTGTCCTCAGGTCTCGTCAAGCTGTTGTTTTCGTCCAGGGGAACTCTTCCTCTGTGACTTGGTGCGTGCCTCTGGGTCCTCATCCTCACGTCGCCACCTGACGATGGATACTTGGCGAGAGTTGGGGGCGGATGGTCCCACGTAGATGATAATGACTGTTTTGACCAGGGGAGGTTTGAAGGTCGCGTGGTTTGACTCGAGCTGAGCTTTCTCAGGTCGTTCTCTTGGAACCAAACCCCAGTTGCCCCTAGGAATCAGGACAGAGTGGCACAGGGCAGCCCAGAGCAAAGGAATTTTCCGGGAGGGTTGACCTGCCGACAAGTGTCAGGAGGACCAGCAGCGACTGTGGCTGAGATGGGGAGCCCCCTCAGGAGTTCCTAGGTGGCGTGAGCGTATTTTAGAGAAAGCTCGAGTCAATAGTGGGATGAAGTTAAACGAGAAAGACAAAGTTGAAATTCATGGGACATAATCCTTCTCTGGTGTTACGTGTGGATCAAGAGGTGAGGTCACTTTAAAACTTTACGAGGGCTAGTTGCAAAGACTGCAGTGAAAGGCATGAACCGAAACTTGGAGGACCAGCTGGTGACATGTGACCCCTGAGTTTACTCAACTGGCAAAACAGCTCAGCACTGCAGAGAGCGCTGGGAGACCCAGCTGCTTGGGATTTCATGTACTCTAAAGGCGGTCATTTACTTAGGCACTGATCTACAAAGCTTTTAATGAGTTTTGGGATTCTTGTCTAGGTCTCCTTAACTTTGGGTGTTCGGGGGGGGGCCTCATACCCGTGCCAGGGCCTCCTCCTGACTCCGCAGGCAGGAGTTTCCTCAGCAGTGCCCAGGCGACCATGTGGGGCGCCCGGTACCAGACCCAGGTGCGCTGCACACAAGGGTAGCGCCCTCCCCGCTGTGCCCCTGCCCCTGACCTGCTTTCTTCAACTTTTCATTCAATGCAATTTACTGTCATTTTACTGTAGCTTTTCGACACCTGCTTTGTGAAACCCGAGCTGTGAGGCTTTCAGGGCTGGAGTAGGGAACAGCTCAGGGCTGACCCGGGATCAATCCCCGGCACCCCATAGAGCCCATAGAGTCCCCCAAGCACTGCTGGGAGAGAGCTGTGAGCACAACCCGGTGTGGCGCCAGAACAAACCAGAAAGTTTCTTTGTAAGCAGGCCACGCAGTTCGAACATGGCTTTTGGTGATGGCCTGTATGAGGCGGAGAAAATTCAAGGTGGACCTAACGGATCTGCCCACCAGGCCGGCCAGCTGGCAGCCGAAGGGCCGGGGCGCCTTTCTGCCACCCACCCCACCCTTCCTGCGGCGCGTCTGGTGACAGGACTGTGCGCCTGCTCGCTGCTCTAACTGCCTCTCCCCTCTCTCCACCTTCCCCCCAAGAAGAGGAAGAAAGAGCAGGAGGAAGACGCTGAGTCTGGCGTGGAGGAGATGAGCTGCTCCAGCGCGCAGATGGAGGACGCCGTCCAGACACGTGAGTCCCGCGGCCCGCCTGGGCCCCTCTCCCCGCGGGCCCACCGGGTCACAGCCGTCCAGACCTGAGGGTCGCGCAGTCCCGCTTTCCCCATCTGCCTCCGGTGCTCTTTCTGCTCCTGCCGGTGGGGCTAAGGCCTCACTGGTGTCCGCGTCGCTGGGCACGCAGCTTTTCTCAGCTGCCCCGCCCACTCCGTGGAGCTGCGAAGAACCCAAGTCTCGGTCACCCCCCTGCACTGCTCTCAGCGGGGGCAGGGCCTGCGGTCATCTCCAGGCAGGCTCCTGTGTGACAAAGGCTCCTCTGTCTGGGCAAAGCTAGGCCGGGCTGGTGGGCAGTGGCTCCTGGCTCCCCGAGTCTCCCCGAGTCTGGCCTGTACCGGTGCTCCCTGCCGGCACGCAGGCTTCTCTGTCCCTTTCAGTTTCTCTGCCTTTTGTTCGTTTCTTTTCTTTCTTTTCTTTCTTTTTTTTTTCTTTTCTGGTTTTTGGCTCACACCCAGCAATGCTCAGGGGTCACTCCTGGCTCTGCAATCAGGAATCACTCCTGTTGGTGCTTGGGGGACCATATGGGATGCCAGGGATCGAACCCAGGTCAGCCACATGCAAGACAAACGCCACGGTGCCCCCCCCCCCCCCCATGCCGTCGCTCCAACCCCTTGTTCATTTATTTTCTTGTCAGTCCTGAAATGTCTCTTGATTTCTCTGATGGAAAAGGCTGGTTTGGGGGTCGCTGTTTTATGTCAGAGCTTTCTTGATCCCAGACACTTGGGGTGGGTGTGGGCACCGGCTCAGGCACGGGGCTCCAGTCTCCCCTCCCCGGGCCAGAAGGCGGAAGGGAGCAAGTGGCCGAGTGGACGCAGCCCCGTCTCGCAGCTGCCCTCCCCGGAAGGAAGAAAGGAAGTGGGGAGACTCGGGGACACTGAGCCTGTGAGAGAGTTCGGGGACAGGCTTAGGAAAGGGCCCGTCCGTGCGAGGGCGGCCCTGAGGCAGAGAGCTGCCATGTGGCTTGTAAGTAGAGGGAGAGTATTTCCACCTCTCAAGTGTGAGCTGAAGAAGGGCCTTACACTGCTAGATTTAGGGGCGAGAAGCCGTACTGGCGTTTCTGTTTCATCTCCCTCACTGCAAGAGGAGAGTTCACCCCGTCGCCAATTCTGGAACAGTCCATAGTTTTGGCGTCAGGTAAAGAATGACCAAATCCTCAGGCAGATCAACTTGGAGTTGCTGTACTTAAGTAACGCTTACTTTTCCACTATGGTTTATTTTCTACCCCCCAAAGTATAAATCTCGTCGAGGTGTATTTTTCCCTCTTTCTGAATAGTGAAAAATTGAGGGAAATATTACCCGCGCTGGTAGGATACTCTTGCTTCTAGCCAAACAAAAAGGGAAAGAAAAAAGGCCACGGGTTCACGAAAATATATGTATTTGTATTCATTAGTTTAAGGGATCTTGAAGAAGGCTCATTATTACATTTGAGGTTTTCTAAGAGAAATCTGTAATACAATCGTGAGTTCCACGTGCGGGTGCCTTGAGACTGTGTCATAAACGTATTTCAAGAACGGTTACCTTTAACAGCAGCTTCAGAAATGTCAGTTTCTTCATTAACAATTTTATTTTCAAACACAATTTATGGTTTACAATATGGTAAGAGATTTTTCTCACTGTGTGATCTTTCAGAATGCTGTGCCTAGCAAAATGGGAGCAGCTTTCCTTTAATATCTATTTAGACCATTTTAAAAACGTGTATAATTTTCTTGATACACCTAAACTCATTTTGACTAGTTGGGGGTCTATTGTGTAAGAACACATTCTGAAAGCTTTCAAAATGTGTATTGTGTAGGTTTGCTCAGAGAAAGAGAGGGGGTGACGGGTGGTTTTCAGGAAGAACAGAGGCCTCTAATCCTTTTATTTTTATGCAAGGCATAATTTTTACCAATTGAGAAAATTTGGTTATTTGCTGCAAGTAATTTTTCCCCCACAAAATGATAAGTCTTAAAAAACCATGTGTATTCTGGCATTTCAAAGCCATGCCAATACTTCAGAATTATACTTAAAATTAGCTAAAGCCGTCATGATACTTTGTCCCCGCTGTTTCTAAAGTGGACAGTCGTCAGTGGCCTCCTCCTGGGGGCATTGCGAGGAGGTGGGGTCCATTCTTGGGGATACTGTGAGGAAAGCCAGCTCTTTTGCCGCTGAGTATCTGGGATCTGGTCAAGAAGATCCTTTTTTAGGGTACCCTGCACAGAAATTTTCTTTTTTTTTTTTTTCCCTCTTGAATGATACAGTCATAGGAAAAAGGAGTCATGCAAGAGTAATCCAAACTTGTATTTCTTACTGTTCAAATATCAATTTTGCACATTTGTCTTATGATTGGACCTTTTACCAGTGGCGATACTTTATGAAGATATGTATATGTTTTTAAAGAGATGTGAAGAGAAATGGGATTTTTTTTCCCTGAAGTAGTCATACTTGATTTTTAGGGTGACATGTTGAATTCATAGCACGCAGAGTGTCTCTGAGTTACATAATCCCGATTATATAATAAATTCCAGGCGGTGATAGCATTTTCCTTCCAGTGGAAAACTAAACCTAGTTTGAAAGGGATAAAGAACAGTTGTATTTAGGAGTAAAATACCAAATTAGGATATTAGTGAGAGGGATACTACAGTACTTGAGTATAGCTATAATTGTTTTCTTTAGGGTCTTTTGTAATACGGTGATAGAATACAAACTAATTGAGATTTCTTGTGATTCTTACTGGTCTGGATTTTATAATACCCTGTTATGCTGATAACAGTCACATTGTCAATTTTCCATGAAAAATTCATTTCAAAATTCTTCGTTGGTTTGTTTTGCTTTTGGGCCACGCCTGCCTGTGCTCAGGGCTTGGTCCCGGCTCTGTGCGTAGGGTCCCCTCCTGGCGGGCTCTGGGGACCATGTGTGTTATGAGGGATCGAACCTGGGTCAGCCCTGGCACTGCCAGGTGTGGCCCCCAGACAAAATAAAAAAAAACATAGGTAAGTGATAAAAGAAGGTGACAAAACCTGGAGACAAAGTCCCAAGGCTGAAACCAGCTCACACCCCCCCCCCCCCCCCCCCAATTATAGAACATTTCCTACAAGTTTCCAATTTGCTTTAGTTGATAGACCGCAATTTGAACACAAACTAGGACTTGGAAAAAGAAAAGTCACTGGTTTCAGAATTGATTTCCAGTCAAGTCATGAAGCAGCCTGTCATGGGGAAGCCTTCGGAAGCTGCTGTGATTAGCCATGGGGACGTGGTGGGGGCTCCCTCCCCGAGGGTGTGGTTGCAGTTCTGGGCCTGTGCCGTGGCCGTGCCCGGCTCCGTCTCCATCTCCCAGGGGGAGGGCCGCTCCGTGCTCTCCGCCTACTGGGCATCCCTGCCCGGGAGCCTGCGGCCAGCCCCCGGGAGGCAGCACCCTGGTTCCTGTGTGGCAGGAAGTGGCCTGAGGTGTCACAGCTGGGGTGTATTGAATCACAGTGAGACAGTTACAGAGTTCATGGTCGGGTTTCGGTCATACCAAGTTTCAGCACCCGTCCCTTCACCAGTGCACATGTCCCGCCACCAGTGTCCCCAGTTTCCCTCCCGCCCCTGTCCCCTGCCTCTATGGCAGACACACACACTCTCTCTCTCTCTCTCTCTCTCTCTCTCTCTCTCTGTCTCTCTCCCTGTCTCTTTGCCTCTGTGTGTCTCTCTGTCTGTGTCTCTCTGTCTCTCCATTTGTCTGTCTGTGTGTGTGTCTCTATCTCTCCATTTGTCTCTGTCTCTCCTCTCCCTCCCTCTCCTTCCCCCTCCCTGCCCCACCCCAGTTTGGGCATTATGGTTTGCAATACAGGTTCTGAAAGGCCACCATGTCCATCCCTTTACCTCCTTTCAACAGCCAGTTCTAGTCCAGAGTGACCATTTCCAGCTCTTACTGTCGCACCCGTCCCTTGGTCCCTTCTCAGTCCTAACAGCAGCAGACTTTGGAAAGAAGGTCTTGCGTTCCGTAATGTGTGTGATCTCATTGGTTCCTTTCAAGGAAAGAGGGCTTCCTTAGTTTACGTTTAGGCATTAGAGTTTTAAATTGTACAAATTGAGAGAAAAAACTTTGGTATTTCTCTAGTTGTATACGTTATATCAGTGGAAGAGTTCTGGTAAAACTTGAGGCTGACGTGTTATAAACGTCTTTTTCCCCCCCTTTTTACATATTAACACGATTTTTGAATCTTTCTGGGGCATTGACAGATTAAACCTCGTGCATGTATTTAATTCTCAAAACTTATTCAGTCTGTAATTTTAAATATTTATTATTAGAAATTCTTCCATTCTGTTCTTCTTTTGTGCTCATAATTTAATGGTGATTTAAATTTCTTTGTTTTCTCTTCAAGGTTCGAAAACCAGAAAGAGAGTCCGGAAGTAAATCAAATGCCATGAACCAGTTTGTTTTTTCTTTTCTTTCCTTTTTTTTTTTTTTTTTTTTGCATCTGAATTTTTCTGTTTTCAGTGTTTTACTTTCATATGAGTCTTCTGGGGTAGGGGTAGCAATGAAGTGCTTATGTTTTTGAGAAAAAAATTTTTAATTGAAATAAATACTTTGTACAATTTATTAAAGACTAATTTATGAAACTTCAAAATCTTGAGGTTCTGCTCTTTAAGTTCTTCCCACCCGAGTGGTATGTCTGTGGTTCTGGAAGGTACCTAAGAAAAATTACCGTCTGTGGCTTGCACTTTTCGAATTGTGTGTGTTTCATAAAATGCCTGTCAGAGTCCTAAGGAAATCTCGAACATAAAATAAAAGTCTTTTTTGCGATCTCAACACACAGTTCACTGTGGTTATAAGATTTCATTTGTATTTATTTTTTCCTCTTCGACGTGCATTTATTCAGCACTGTCAGTATGGAGCCCGAGGACCAGGTATGGAGGGTCAGGGAGGAAGGGGAGGTAGTGAATGTATCTTGGGGAGAGAGAAAATGTGCTTTTGGGTCGCGTCCCGGGAGGCAGGGCGCCCTGCACTGGTGCTCAGGGCTTACTCCTGGCTCTGAGTTCAGGGGTCACTCTTGCTGCGACTCTCGGGATCATATGGGGTTCTGGGGATCGAACCTGGGTCAGCTGCATGCAAGGCAAGCACCCTACCCACTGTCCCATCACTCCGGCCCCTGGAGCCGGTTCTTGACCCAGGACACTGATTTTGTGCTTGCTTGGTGTAGGGGAAGGATGGCGGGGGGGTTTCCCGGGGGGTGGTCTCAGCAGACTGCCTCTACTCTTTGTCTCCTTGGTGTCAGTTTTGTTTTTTGGGGGGGGTTGGAGGGGGTACCCGTGGTGGGACTTAGGGCTTAGGGATCGCGCCTTGTGGAACTTGGGGGATCCCTGGATGGCCAGGATCAAACCCAGGTTGGCTGTGTGTGGGAACAGACACCCTCGCCACCGTCCCATCTCTGCGGCTTAGAACGTGCTTGCTCAAAAGTCAGATGACGTGATCTGTGTAAGGGGCAACATGGACAGCAAGCAAACAGCGGATGAGTTGCCAGGTGGGGCAGATTGAAGAAGGTTTAAGGACGGGCTTCCAGGAAGGAAACCGAATAACTCCTGTAGAGCCAGACCTGCTTGTCCTTCCCAATTGTAGGATTGTTTTTCCTTACTGATTTCATTTTTTTGTAGCATATATTTATTTGGACAGCAAACCAGAGTTTCCGTGCTGGTGAATTTGAAGAGGTGAATTTTTCCAGTTGCCTTGGGAACAAAAGCTTTGAATTGAAAGATGTGTGTTTAAAATTTTTTTTTTTTAATTTTTGTTTGTTGGGAGTCATATCCAGTGGTGCTCAGCACTTACTCTGTCTCTGTGCTCAGGGATCACTCCTGGTTGACCTGGGGGACCAGAGGGAGAGCCAGGGATCAAGCCTGGCCAGCCACATGCAAGCAAGCCCCCTGCCTGCTGTGCTATTTCTTGGCCCTTTTAAGCAGTTACAAACAATTTTAGGTATGACTTTGCTCGAAAATTGGGAGTGAATTGCGTTTTCTAGAGGGTGGTATATGCTGGTACTTCTTGTCCCAGCTTAGAAGCTGCATAACAGAATCCTTTTATTTAAATATTTAAGAATTAGAACAAGCCTAAATATTTCAATTTTTTAAAAAGCGAATGGGAGAAAAATAATAGTATAGGTGGAATGGGAATGTATCAGGAATTCCCAAGGTGGTGCCTAGCTTCAAAAATCCCGAACCCCATGACGTCTGTAACGGTTGGCTCTCTGACGGGAGGATTTGGTTATCTCACAGCGGTCAGATGCTGAAAATGCAAAACAGAACGACAGACGTTCTTGAAGGTCGCTCTTCCAAACGCCACCGGTGTCCCGGGCTCCACGCGTGTCTGTCTGAGGGAGGGCGGCGCTGCGTCTCGGGCCAGACTCGATTCTTTGGAGGGTGGCAATTGGTCTCCCCTCGGCGTGATGGCCCCAAGTTTGTTTGTAACACCTAGATCAAGTCTCAAATTCTGCTTCAGACACATTGGTGCTTAAAATAGGATAAAATGTGTGGGGTGTGTTTTGTGTATATGCCTTAGCCTTTTTTTTTTTCCCCAAACACAAAAACATAGCAAAACCTGTTGGTTAAATATTAAGAAAACAAATATTTCCTCACATATTGTTTTTAACAAGTGCTGGCGTTTTCTAGAATGTTCCTCTGTTGGCAGGGCTGCAGGAATCCAAAACAAGTAGCCAGAGTAGCCAGTTGGACTCTGCGGCTCCAGCCTTGCTGTTCTGCTCTTCTTTCGCTCCCTCTCTTCCTCACTGGCTTCTCTTTCTATCTTTATTTTTTTGGGGGGATGGGGTGTTGTGGGGGGCGCTGAATAAGCGCTTTGTCATTTGGGATTGTGCTTTTTTGGGGGGGGAATTTCCTGATTTGTAATGTTCTTTTTTTTATGTCTCACATGGTTTTCGTTTTCTCCCCGCTTACTGCATTCTGTGGGTTTTGGCCTTTCGTTCCCTCCTCACAGCCCAGTTTCCAGGCACCTCAGTGTGTGCTGCAGCACCATGTGCTCCTGCCCTCTGCATGCCGAGCTCCTAAGAGCAGAGTTGTCTGGCCTCCTGAGGGAGCAGAGATGTCCTGGTTTCCTGAGGGAACAGAAATGCTCCAGTCTCCTCAGCGAGCAGAGATGCTCCAGTCTCCTCAGTTGAGCAGAGGCGTTCTCTTCTCAGCAAGCAGAGATGCTTCAGTCTTCTCAGTGATCACAGATGCCCTGGTCTCCTCAGGGAGCAGAGACACTCCAGTCTCCTCAGTGAGCAGAGATTACTGTGGTCTCCTCAGTGAGCAGGATGCTCTGGTCTCAGTGAGCAGAGATGCTCTGGTCCTCTGAGGTAGCAGAGCTGCTTTAATCTTCTCAGTGAGCAGAGATGCTTTGGTGTCTTCAGTGAGCAGAGATGCTCCAGACTCCTGAGGGAGCAGAGATGCTCCTTCCCCTCAGCGAGCAGAGATGCTCCATTCTCAATGACAAGAGATGCTGCTCCAGTCTCCTCAGTTAGCAGAGGCACTCTAGTCTCCTCAGCGAGCAGAGACGCTCTGGTCTCCTCAGCGAGCAGAAACGCTCTGGTCTCCTCAGCGAGCAGAGACGCTCTGGTCTCCTCAGCGAGGAGAGACGCTCTGGTCTGAGGGAGCAGAGATGCTCCACTCTTCTCAGTGAGCACAGATGCTTTGGTGTCTTCAGTGAGCAGAGATGCTCCAGTCTCCTGAGGGAGCAGAGCTTCTCTAGTTTGAGAGATACTCTCTAGTTTGGTTTCCTTGGTGAGCTGAGATGCTCTGGTCTGTGGAAGGAGCAGAGAGCAGAGACGCTTCTGTCTCCTGAGGGGGCGATCAGTCTGCTGGGCCTCAGGTTCTTGTCCTTCCCGCGAAGCTGGGCTCTGTGCGTGGCATTTTCTAGAAAGCTGCCAATTGATCTCTCATATCCAATCCTGAGGTAAATACAGCTTCTGGGAGTTTCTTAGCCATGACCTGTGAGGGCAGATGAAAGGAGAGGCCAGAGCAGTCAAGCCCTGATTATTTCCTTGAATGACTCAATCAGATGTGCAGGTAAAGAGCTAAATTGCACGGCGATAGGTAGCGGGAAGGAGAGAGTGAGGGGATCGCCCCTGTCCGTGACAGACTGTCTCCTTAGTTCGTCTTTCCCGGTCTGTGCTTTGGTGCTGTGTATTCCAATTATCAGGAGTTTGGCTATAGAGAACAGACTCACTGAAAAATGCCAAAGGTCACCACCTCCCTACCGCGTCACCTCACCACCCACGCCTTCTTGCTTTCTCTGTATGAACTTGACTTGAAATGGTCACTGGGGCTTATGTAAAACTTTATACTCTGCCCTCGAAAGCCAGCATTAAGTACTTTCGTGTTATTGTAACACGAATTTTCATGGATTTCCTCGAATGCTTTTGCATTTCTTTCCACAGGGAATTTTGTTCCTTTCTCAACCATTTTCCTAATAGTGGACACTGAGCAGTGTTTTTTCCTGTTTTTTTTTTTTTTCTTTTTGGGTCACACCTGGTGATGCTCAGGTATTACTCCTGGCTCTGCACTCAGGAATTACTCCTTGCGTTGCTTGGGGGACCATATGGGATGCTGGGAATCGAACCTGGGTCGGCTGCATGCAAGGCAAACACCCTACCTGCTGTGCCACTGCTCCAGCCCCTGTTTGGGGCCCCTGTGAATGGGGTTCTTGAGTGTTATTGGGCAGGGCTATGAAAATGGAAGGTCCTTGATGCATTTTGTGAAATGACTGTAGAGAAAGCCTCCCGTTCAGATTCTGCAGAGAAAGCCACGGGCTGGGCTCACACTCTGCTATCCTTGAGGGTGCCTGATGTGACAAGCTAAAAAATTTTATCATTGCTAATGAACGTGAGCATTTTTTTTTTTTGGTCTGGGAATCAATTCTGTCTCCTTGGCGCGTTTGTTGGAGCCGCGTGTGTGGCAGTGATGATCACACCCTCCGTCTCGTGGCAGATTCTTTCTGCTTTTGTGTTTCTGCTTTTGTGTTTGTTGATGCTTCTCGTTTCTGTGGATTTTTACGTTCTGTCCTTTTTCATTGTAATTCTTTTCCTTCTACTGAAAATCAGAAACGCATAGTATGGCTGTTTCTAGTTTGTTCCAGTGTTCCTAATTTCTGATCTGTTTGCTGTGGGGTAAGGACCGTTGTGGCTCTGGTCCAGCAACGACCCTCGACCCGGAACCATTTGTGAGAGGGATTCCTGTTCCCCGCTCCTTCCACCCTGCTTCCCTGCATATTAAGCCCTTCCGTCCCCGGGTCTTTTTTTCTGGACTGCTTGTTCGATTTCATTGATCTGTCTGTTTCTCTGCCAGCGCCACACTGATTTAATTAACGCCAGCTTACTTAGTGATTTCTGTTTATTGCTTAGATCACATTAACAGAAATCAAAATGAAAGGGGAAAAAAATTCACTTAGAATCTACTTTGGTGCTGTTAA